AGTATTTATTACTACTATGTATTTTTTTTTTTTTACAAATAGTTTATTGTCAAGTTGGTACTACTATGCATGTTTTAATATTTTCACTACACACACAGATATACACACACATTGCTAAATGATATATGGTATTATTTTTAACATTTAGGATCTTAATGTGAATTAACCATATTTTATGTATGCTTTAGCAACTTGTTTTTTGCTTCAGCAAAAATATTTGTTTTGTTGTTTTGTGTTTTGTTTGTGAGATTCATGTAGTTCTGGTTCATTCCTTTTCAAGGATGTATAGTGTGTGTACCTGTCTGAGAGTTTTTAAGGGATATTTACTTAGAAATGAAAATTTCATGTCATAGAGTAATGTATGTTTTTTATCTTTGCCAAATATTGCCAAATTGTTCTTCAAAGTGGCTGTACTAATTTGATTCCTTTAGTAATGTTGGGGATTTTATATTTCTGTGACATTTGGTAACAGATACTAGCATTTACTTGATGTGAAGTAATATCTCATTGCAGCTTCAATTTGCATTTTGCTGACCACTATTATGGCTCAAGCATCTTTTCATATGGCTAGTGGCTATTTGTTTTTTTCTTCTGGGAAGTTCCTGTTATCTTTTTTCCCTTTGGGTTGCTTGTCTATACTTACTGATTTGCAGAAATTCTTCCTTCCTTCCTTCTTTCCTTCCTTCCTTCCTTCCTTCCTTCCTTCCTTCCTTCCTTTCTCTCTCAAAGATTTTAATTTTAAGTAATCTCTACACCCATTGTGGGGCTCAAACCAACAACCCTGAGATCAAGAGCCAAATGTTCTACTAACTGAGGCAGCCAGGCACCCCTGTGGAAATGCTTTCTATATTCTGGATACTAATTCTTTGTTAATTAATATGATGCATTTGCCTTCTCTGTATTTAATCATTTTCATTTTTATTTATTTTTTAATCTTTTCATTTTTAAAAATGCTTGCTTTTTATGTCTATAAAATCCATTTGTAATTGGAGGTTATAGATTTTCATTTAGAATTTTATACCCAGGACTTTAGTACATGTGGAATTGACTTGTAAATCATGTGAGGATAGGATCTTATGTGTATTGAATAACTAGCTGACCCAGCACCATTTCTGGACATGAATGTCCTTCTCTATTGATTTGCAGGACCGCCTCAGTGATCTGTGTGTGGATTGACTTCTGAGTTATCACCTGTATGTTGGTTGCTTTATTATATATCCCCTGTGCCTATTACATTTGTATAAAACCTTGATATCTGGCAAGGCAGCTTCCTCCAACTGGTTGTTCTTAAAACTTATATTGGCTATTTTTGGACTTTTTCCTCCTTAACATACGTTTAAAATAAGCTTACCACAGTCCATGGCAATTAAAAAAATTTTTTTTGTTGGGCTTATATTGAATTTATAAATTCATTTGAGTGTCTATGATAGCCAGTTTTTTTTTGTTGTTGTTGTTTTTTAGATTATCTAGTGCAGAGTTTCTCAATCTTGGCACTATTGGTGTTTGTGGTTGGATAATTCCTTGTTATGGGGAATGTACATTGAGGGATGTTTAGCAGCATCCCTGGCCTCTGTTTTCTAGAGCCAGTAGCACCACCCTGACTAAATGCATCTTCAGATATTGTCAAATGTCCCCTGAGGGGCAAAATTGCCACTGATTCATTAATTTGAATTATATTGCAGAAAATTATATTGCAGAAATTTTCCTCATTTTTTTAGAATTATTTTCCTCAGATGTGAATTTTATTTGTGTTGTCTACTGTCATGGTGATTTTTATTTTTGTCCACGGTAATTTTTAAGCATGAACTTGGCCTCCAGCAGAACGGATGTCTCATATGCCCTGAGTGATGAAGGTAGTTTTCTGGGGTGGTTTTGAGTTTGCCTCTGAAGATCTTAGAGGCTTCCTTAGTCTGAGAGCAATTTTTATGTTAATTTCTTGCTTTGGGCTTAAAAGAAACCCTAACAAAGTAGTGATTATTTGGACCCTTGCCCTACTTCTCCCTTCTATGCTCCTCTTTCTCAAGTGCCTGTCACCTTTAGCTACACTTAACCGCCTCAACACCACCCTAACATACACACTGGCATTTTGCTGCATGTAGGCTTGACTCAGCATGGGATCTGTAGTTTTCCTTTTGATATTTTTTTCTGAATATGCCAGATGCTACCACTGAGTAATTTGGGTTTTGCTGCCAAACTATACCTCCATTAGTACAGAGGGAAGACAGCATGCCAGTTCGCTTACTGAGTGTGCGTGACTGGCCGAAAACAGTCCTGGTGTAACGGTTGGAGGGAACAAACTGAGCAGATAATATTTTTAAAAATGATTATCTAATTTTGTTAACTCTTGACAGCATTATTACATCATGATAACTATGAACTCCAAAAGTTGGCTACTGTTTTTAAAAACAGAATTGCACATTTCATTTCTAGAGTTCTCTTTGGCTTTTTTTTTTTTTTTCAGATATGTCTGGTAAATTTGGATAACATCTCATTTATTTCTCTTGTGTTTAATGATCTCATCCTTATTTTATACCTTCTAGTGTGTATGAATATTTTATAGGTTAATTTATAACAACTACTAACAAAATTGTGACTTTTAGTCAATAGAAAAAGAAGTACTTGACTTCCTTTCATGGAAACTAGAAGTTAGGTTAAAGTATTGTTAGCCCCCGAATAAAGTATAGATTTAGGGTCTCTGGAACACATAAAATTGTTATTAAGCTTTCAGATTAAAAAAAGTAAGGTAGGGGTGCCTGGATAGCTCAGTTGGTTAAGCATCTGACTCTTGATTTTGGCTCAGGTCATGATTCCAGGGTTGTGGGATCAAGCCTGTGTTGGTCTCTGCATTGAGCATGGAGCCTGCTTTGGATTCTCTCTTTCTTCCTGCTTCTGCACCTCTCCCTTTCTCCCTCTCTCTCTCTGAAAAAAAAAGTAAAATAAAAAAAATAGTCTGAGTGCCAGTTTTTCCACTTTCATTGGGCAATCATTTAGTAAATTCTATTTCTCCAGTCATTCACAATGGCTAGATTTCAGTGAAGTTTGGATGAACATGCATGGGATTGGCATAGACATGTGAATACCTATTAGCAAATGTGCATTAGGTAAAATGTCTATTTGTATTAAGAACTCACTCATTTAGCCTGGTTGTGGGAAGGCCAGTGTGAAATGAATGATCTACTCTAAAACAAAATATTTTAGATTTTTGAAAAATAAAACAAAAATTAGAGTAAATTTGATTCTATTACTTTCAGACACTAAAGAAGTTATTAATATTTTCATTGATGGGGAACTCTGGATCTGTAGGGAAATTATGCTTACTCTAAGAATCTATTTTGCCTTTGACAGTAAGAACAAAAAAAATGTTCCATATATCCTTTTTTTTGCTTTGACTGCCAGGAAACTCAGAGACAAATTCACAGTCTACTAATATCTGTTTAGGCCTTTCTGGTCTCCGTATTTGCTTTGTATTCTCTATCCCTCCACCCCATTTTAACTTTCTAATCTAATATTTTTTAACCTAATTTCCCCCCTTATTCTCATATAAACTATTTCTTGTACTTAGTGTTGTTATTATAAGATGCCTTAAATCTATTATGGGCTGAAATTGTACATAAATAAATTAAATACCTTCAGTGCTCTTTTCACTAAAGATAGTTCGATAAATAATGTAAAAATATACATGGGGCATGTGAGTGGCTCAGTCAGTTGAGCATCCCACTCCTGATTTCAGCTCAGGTCATGATCCCAGGATTGTGGGTTTAAGCCTCATGTGGGGCTGTGTGCTGAGTGTAGAGCATGCTTAATATTCTCTCTCTCTCTCTCTCTCTCTCTCTCTCCCCCCCCCACCATTCTCTCCCTCTGCCCTTCTCCCCCACTTGCACTGTCTCTCTCTCGAAAAGAAAAAAGAAAAAGAAAAAAAATATAAATATACTTGTACACAAATACATAGTAATAGTTAGCAACTTACAGTGGAGTTGTGTTTCCAATTTTTTTAAATGTTCTCTGATAGAAACAGACAAGATACTCTTTCAGAATGCAAGAGTTTATTTAACATAAAATATAGCTATGACACTTTAGAATAGAATAGACAGTGCCTGCCATTTGCACCTTAAATTTTGAAAGGGAATAGATTGAGTTTCAATGGAAAAAAATTAAGAGGTCATCCATGGCATGACCTCCCATTGCTCCCACCCAAGTCCAGCCCAGGGACCAAGTTCTTTCCCCAGATTTTCTGTTCTACTTCCTTCCTTCCACTGATACCATTAGGAACTCGTGATAATTGCTGACCTGAACCAATGTGTTGAGAGTAAGGGCCTCTGGCACTTCCATGGGCTCAAGGTCTGGAGCAGTAATTAAAACTTGACGAGGCCTTTGTTCAGATAAAGTGGTAGGTCCTACGAGCATTCATGATGAAGTTGTGAAAATGACCTGAGACTTTGGGAGGATACCAGGGAAGGTTTCTGCTTATAGGTATAAATGAGGGATTTTATAGTAGGAGACAACTGGGAAAAATGCTGGGAGTAGTTCTGACACCCTGCAGGAAGTCTCTTGTCAAGACCTGTGTTTGTTTAAATCTACCTGGTTGGGGTCACTGAAAGTGGGAGTTAACCCTGTGACACCAGTTTTTCTAGTCCAGTTAGCTGCTTCGTCATTGGGCTTTTTCTTCTTCCTCCCACCAAGGTTATTCATATGCTATTCGTCATTTATGATTTTCTTCTTACCGTATTTTACATTCTTATAAATTCTGATAAAGCCCGTGGGATTTTGGGGAGATAATTTGTTTCTGGTTTCATTACCTTTAAAATTTAGGTTATCTTCTCTGACTGTCTTGGTTTTTCAATCAATTGCTCTGCCTACTGAGGATAGCTTTCTATAGGCTTAACAATATAAGTTTAATCTGCTAGGTTAGAGAGACCAAGAAAGGAAGAACCTATACCGTGAATGTTAGGCATAAGTTGCTTTGATAAGAGAATTTAAAAAAAATTCCCTTTTAACCACAGAACTCCTCCATTGGAAAGGGGATTTTGAAAGAAATGAAGAAAACTATCAGAAATGAAGTCAGTAGCCTCATGGCCTTTTGTTGACTAGAGTGGAGTTTTATTATTGCATTTCTTTAGAATGACACTGCACAAGATGTCTGCTGAAGTCATCTACCAGGTTGAAGAGGCACTTGATGAAGACGAGAAGGAAATGATTCTTTTTTTGTGTCGGGACATTGCTGCAGATATTGTTCCCCTCAACGTCAGGGACCTTCTGGACATTTTAAATGACAGAGGAAAGCTGTCTGCCATGGGCTTGGCTGAACTACTCTACAGAGTGAGGCGGTTTGACTTGCTCAAGCGGATCTTGAAGATGGACAAAAGGGCAGTGGAGGCGCACTTGCTCAGGCACCCTCAGCTTGTTTCAGACTATAGGTAATTCATCATCCTTTCCCAAGGCTGGACCTGGAGGGAGGGAGTGAGGTGGTCTGGACTTATGGACAATAGACATGAAGACGGTAAAAAAAACAAACACATTACTTTTGCTGCCCACAGATTCATTTGCCTTATAATGTTACTTCATTCCTTTGAAGTCTTTGAATTCTTAGAATATGTTCACTTAAAGTAACTAGGTAGAAGATCATAAAGAAAGTGGAAGGGCTGGGTAGTATGTATTTGTCTGATGGATAGAACAACTAAGAACTAGTAATTCTTGCCATCCTCTGTGGGATCTGTAGTGGTCTGTGATGTCAGACTGGCAAATTCTGGTACTGAGAAAGGAAATAACAAGTCTGACATTGATTTTCCTGACCTTTGTAGAGCTCTGTGATCCCTCCTGAGTCCCCATTGGTCTTTCCCCTGCTGAGGAGCTTAGTGAGGTAGACTTCCTTTCTGTGAGTTTCTTTGGGGTCCTTGCCCCCAGAGGCTTGGTAGGGCAGAGGTGCTGAACGAACATCTCATCAATTAAACAGCCATAGACCCCCTCCAGTTCAGAGAGGGATGGTCACTGGAGTCGCCTTTAGTTGAAACCATTTGAGATTTTCCTTCCTCCTGTTAACAAACTACTCTCTTGGAGGCTGAGAGGAGCACAAAAGCCATAAGAAAAGCTGCATTTCTGGAGAAAGAAAGATAACTTGTGACCTTAAATTAATGATTCCTTTTTCTTCAGACCACCAACCTTTAGTTATATCAATGGTGTGTATTTGGAGAAGATGTGTATTGTTGAGAACAGTATTAAAGAGAGTTGAAAGCAGCATGGCCCTTTCAAAGTATCAGAGGTCTGAGGTCTGGAGGCCTGTTTCAAGTCTCAGAAATATCAGTTACAGGCCATATAGGCTAGGCCAGCCACTAACACCAGCTACTAAACAAAGTAGGGACTTTGTTTTCCTACTTGTAAAGCTAAAAATAATAATACCTGATTTCACAAGTTTGTTGGTGAAGATCAATTGTGATAATTTAGTATGTGAAGTACTTTCACATAATTTAGTATGTGAATCCCTCTACAAATGCAAGAGTTTATTGTTATTGGGGCACCTGAGTGGCTCAGTTGGTTAAGCATCCAACTCTTAGTCTTAGATCAGGTCTTGATCTCAGGGTCATAAGTTCAAGGACATAAGCCCATGATGGGTTTCATGTCCTACTTAAAAACAAACACACAAACAAAAAAGTGAAAGAGTTTATTGTTACTGTTGTTCTTGATCATCTCTACCTCTTCAACCATCATAAAATGTCAATATGTTCTTAAAATTTTTTCAGAGGTGCTGGGTTTCAGTGAATAAGTTAGGGCACTCTCCATTTCCTGTCTCCTTGCTAATGTGAGTGTAGGCAGTTCCCTAGGTCCTCTGGGTAGAACGGGTGGGTAATGGGAGGGAATACTAGAGTCACTGATTCATCTGGTCAATGAGCTCTTTTGGGTGGGGGGGTCAGTATATGCCCAGTGGGCTCTTTTGGGCAGGGGTGTCAATATATGTCAATAGGTGTGTATTAAGCATTAGAGCAAAATGAACAAAGCATCTTATGTCCTCAAGAATTTGAGAGCCTAATTGGGAAAACAGCCCTCTAAAGAAGTGATGAAATTGTCGAGGCAATAATGCCAACCACAGGGTGTCCTGAGAGCCCAGATAAAGTGTGATGGTGGCTCCAAATGGAGCAATGGTGACTGAGTCAGGCAAGGCTTTGTAGACAAAAACATCTATGGTCATAATCCCCAGGATCTAGATGCCTTTTACCCTTTGAGTTTAGGAGTAGGCCAGAATATCCCAGGTATAACCTTGCTTTAGAAGTTTGTGACTCAGAGCGCAGTCCCTGGATCTGCAGCATCCTCATCACCTGGGGCTTGTAAGATGGAGAAGACAAGACCACTTCAAATTCTATTTCTTTCATCTTATTCATATATGTTCTTTGCTTATTTCATCATAACATCTGGGGGAGCTAGGGGATTCTTTACGGAAGTTTTTATTCTCTGAGTTGTTTGTAGAGCAGTTAGTTAGAAAGAGAGGTACTGTCTCCTATTGAAAGTAGGGGAAAGGATTAATTTCCTTTTCGAGTTCCCTTAAGATCTCTTCCTGTTGTGGTCTAGGCTTTCTGTTTTATGGAGGCACATATTCAAATGGGGTCCTGAATTAGTCTTTAAAACAATTATTGGCATAGTAGAAGCATAGGTTTTGGTGTTTTCACTAGGATTGGTGTCTGAATTTACTAAAAAGGTTGTCTGGTTTGCAGGGTGCTGATGACAAAGATTGGTGAGGATTTGGAAAAATCTGATGTGTCCTCATTACTTTTTCTCATGAGGGATTATATGGGCCGAAGCAAGGGAGCCAAGGATAGGGTGAGTATTCTTTTTCTTGGTTCATGTTCCCAAGGGCCTATCAAAAGGAGAGGGGTGCTCTATAGTGTGTGGAGAGAGGGAAGTGGGCACTAGAATAGGAAGACTCAAGCTGGGATGAAGGTAGGAAGTGAGAAAAGTATATCTTTTTACTTCAAATTCACTCTCATCTTGCTCTCCCATGGGCATCTATTTCCCCTCAACTAGCTTGAGGTCAGTGTGAGGTCAGGCTGAATGCTGAGGTAGGGACGGAGAAGGTACTTATGACTTGTGTATCCAGGGAATGGCAAAAGTAGAGATTTGGGATTGGAAACTAGGTAGGAATCAAGATCTCAGGAATGTTGTAATTGGTGGAAAACTTTTAAATTGTCTGTCCCTATGTGGTACTGCTGGCCTAAGGACAGGCCAGGAAAACCTTAGGTCTCTAGAATATGAAAATATGTTCTTAAAGGATCTGCCTTTGAGGACTGGTAAATCATTGCTTGAGAATTTCCTCATGTTTCATGATAATTGTAGTTTTGTTTCTGAAATCTGCAAATATAGGGTGACATTATGCCCCTACGATCAAATGCATCAAATGGGAAGGAAAATGAAAAAATAGAACTTCTTTTTGTGTTCTTGAGTCAACTTATCTGCCAATCACTTATATAAATTTCATGATGATGATTATTAAAAAAAATAAATATAGCACCTCAATAACTAAATGTTAAACAGAGGGGAAATAAAACCCAAAGCAATGCCTATTTCTGAAATAGAGTATTTTCATAATCTTTATGGTCTAAGGCAAGTAAATAGCAATATGACCTAACTTTTTAATTTTGCTTCCTCAACCTCCTGGAGTCAGAATGAGTTGGAATGCCCAGCATTGATTAAAATATTTTAGAAACTTCTGGGGTATCTGGGTGGCTCAGTCGATTAAGCATCCAACTTTGGCTCAGGTCATATCTCATGGCTGTAGATTGGAGCCCTGCATTGGACACTGTGCTGACAGCCCAGAGCCTGGAGCTTGCTTCAGATTCTGTGTCTCCCTCTCTTTCCGCTCCTCCCTCACTAGTGCTCAGTCTCTCTCTCTCTAAAAAATAAATAAACATTAAAAAATGTTAGATATTTTAGGAACTTCAAAACTGCCTCATGGGATTTTTCTAGTAGAAGCTTTCTCCCAGTGATCTTCTCTCTTCCCTTTTTAGGAAATCCCTTAGGGTTTTTCAGTCTAATACCAGAACAGAATGTTCTCAGGCGGATTTTATTTTTAGGCCTTCTCTCTCACAGTACTTTTTTGTTGTTAAGTAGGCTCCATACCCAATGTGGGGCTTGATCTCATGACCCTGTGATCAAGAGTTGTGTGCTTTACTGACTGAGCCAGCCAGGTGCCCCATCTCACAGTACTTCTTGATGACATAAAATGACTCATGTGTCCCCAGCTTAGGTACAGGTTGTCCACCAAAGGACTTACCACCCCCTCTTTCTCAGTAAAAGAGGGGGTGGTAAGTGAGTGAAATTTGCTTCTGGCCCTGGAGGGACTAGGAAACAGAGAGGTCTGGTTTGGGATCACTGAAGATCATGAAATCTTTTCACATTTGCTCGCTGTTACAAACACTACCTGAGGTTTGCATTTGGGGCTTAACAGTCTACCTTACTGACATTTGTTTCTTCTTGGTGGCTCTCTTAGAGTTTTCTGGATCTTGTGATTGAATTGGAGAAACTAAATCTGATTGCTCCAGATCAATTGGATTTATTAGAAAAATGCTTAAAGAACATCCACAGAATAGACCTGAAGACAAAAGTCCAGAAATACAAGCAGTCTGGTAAGTAGAATTTTGGCCTCTCAGTGGCCTAAAGAAAGTACCCTGGGCATACTAGGTTTGATTGATAAAGACTCATTTGTTGGATGGGTAAAGGGAACAGAACTTGAGTGTCCACAACCCCCACTAGCCTGTGGCTAGAGATCACATCACCTTCTATCTTTCATGTCTCAGATCTGCTGACTTTATCACCCCACACCCATGACCACAGAGTCTCAGTCCTCTGCAAAGTGCTGGTAGAAGTTCTTAACATCTCAGCCTTCATGAAATAGTCTACACACCCATTTTCTGCACAGGCTGACAGCATGGGAGACACTCAGGGCTTTTGAGGATATGCTAGACCTTGCTGCACTGTCCCAATGTTTGGCCTGACCACCATATAATTCTGGGTCTCATCCTGTCACTGGGATCCCATAGCTGCCCTCCATGTGTCCTGAGTTTCACAAAACCCCATGGAAAAGGGCACCTTTGCTACCTCCATAAAGGTGACCAGACTCACATTGGCCTTCTTTTTCATGCCACCCTCCCGCCCCCATTGTCTTTTAGACTCAGGCTCAGCATGGGCTCTGTTGCTCTGTTAGTAGTACACTGCCACCATAGAGTCACAGCCTAAAGGGCATAGCTGAGACCCAATGATCTACAGATACCCCCTACCCCATGACCAATAAAAAAAATCAAGGATGGATGTACCATTTTTAGTCCATTCTTGATGATAGTGGGAGATATTTTGAATTTAGTAAGGTGGTTAGAAAGTTTAGGATATTTTGAAAGATGAAGCTTGACCCTGAACTGAGCCATTGTTGAATATTCATTTGATAATAACTTATAAATCTTAACTCAATACCTGTCTCCTGATTATAGCTCAAGGAGCTGAAACAAGTTATATAAATGCACTCCAGGCATCCCTCCCAAATTTGAGTCTTAAGGATCCTTCATATAACCTAAGGGTGAGTTTGGAGCAAATGTATGGAATTTCAGCATGAAACAGTTTCAGAACTTTGATAAAAATACACATATTTTCACAGCATGGACTTCATTTAATATCTGGAAAAAATGTGGTAGTAATGTGTATTTGTTTTTAAAATATGTATAACTTCTTATGATTACAAAGTTGGCATGTGTTCACTGAGATAATTTAGAAAATATAGAGATATAAAAGGAGAACAATAAATCACTTCTATCCTACTATCTAAAGATATGTTGGCAAATTTCCTTCTAGTCTTTTTTGTGTATATTTGTGTATCTACATATCCAACTACATATCATAGTTTATTTGTTCTTTAGAAAATTTCACTTTTTTTTTGAGAGAAAGAGTGCATGTATATGAAGGAGGGGCAGAGAGAGAGAGGGAGACAGAAAATCTCAAGCAGGCCCCATGCTGCCACTGCAGAGCTGAATGTGGGACATGATCTCACGAACTGTGAGATCATGACCTGAGCTAAAATCAAGTTGGACACTACAGTGACTGAGCCACCCAGGTGCCCCTAGAAAAGTTAGCTTTTTAAATATAAATATAAATAGATAGGGCATCCTCATGGACAAAAATTCCAAAATATACTAAAAGAATTTTTTAAAGTATGTTTTGTCTTACCCCAGTTTCTTTCCCCAGAGGCAGCTGTTGTTAACCATTTTCTTCTATAAACATTCAGACGCAGTCTGTACACATACCAGATTTCATTTTTCCTTTTTACTTCCTGTGCAAATGGTAGAACACTATGCCCATTGTCCTGAGCTGAGAATTCTTGGGAATTGTTCCATATGAATCATATGGGACAACCCCTATTTTGTCATTGCTTTTAATGGATGCATATGGTTCTGCTTTCTGGGTATATCAAAGTGTGTATAGCTCTTTCTTGTGTGTATTTAGATTGTTTCTAGTCTTTTTTTAATACAATGATTCAAAATAAATATACTTGTATTTACCTCTCTGTGCATTTGCTCGTTATTGGACTTATTTTATGATTTCAACACAGCAGAAGTGTTTTTGTTATTTAGTGAGATTATTGAGTAATTGAGTTGAGACCCTAAATATCACATAGTCACTTCCGGTTTTGTGTTAGTAAATGGTGCAAGGTATTATCAGAATTCTTCTTGGTTAATTTTTTATCTTGAAGAGTTAATCCTAGTATAATATTCTCATCCCCATATAAAGGTATGTGGAATTTGTAGTCAGGCCTCAGGCCACAGTGCAATTTTATAGTTAAATTATAAACACTTTCATAAAAGTATCTGAGGAAAACATTAACTACCCCTGTAATACAGTTTCATGAAGACTGTGAGCTGTGAAAGATACCTCTGAGCAATAGACTTTAAGAGCTAAAATGGGTATTAAGGATTATACTGTTCAACCCCTTCTTTGAACAAATAAGGAAATTTAGGCCTAAAGTGCATTAAGTGATTGCCCACCTCTACCTACCACCAGAACTAGGCCCAGCCCAGGCTCCTTCCTCTATGCCATGGCATATTTAATAAATATTTGATACCAGTCATGACATAGCTTAGATATATCTGTCATGTTTTTCAAGAATCAAATACACTTTCTTTTGTCTTTCTGAATCTCTATGATACCAAATCATGAAACCAAAGTGATTTAGGATTCAGATCCAGATTTTCTGAGCATTCTCTGCTATTGTATATCTAATATAAATTATACTGTCACTCTTAGTTAAAAGCTTGCCATATTTTTACTATTTTCTTTCTATTTTTGTGATGAAAGTAATTGTGTTTACTGTCTATGTAAATATCGCTTAATTTTGTCACTTAATTTTCTGTATTTATCTGTGACCCTGATCATTCATTCAGTTAGTAAGCAGACGCTGTGGCTTACAGATCTGGCATATTTCTCATAAAATTAGGAGGTGAATACCTGGATGTTAACTCATACAAGAGTGCAAAGTACTTTAAAAATTATAGTGACATTAAATGACACATGATACCAACATGTTACAGAATAAAAAAGTTGTGTCACTCTGCAATATGATGCTTTTTAAACCCAGCTTTGTTTTGATGTTGTATCTCTTTAACAGCTATGTAAATGTGAATGCACATCCATGTGAGGTTCCAAATTCTATGTAGTATTATAGCCTCTGGCTAAGTCTCTTATATTAGTGATAAAAGCAACTTACATGTTTTTCTTTAATTTAGACAGACTTAGCTATAGACACAGCTTAATGAATAGTATACTTCTCTCTTTTGGCTAGGATAGCTTCAGAGGAGAACTGTCATTTGAAAGCTGAACCTCTCAGGTGGTTGGGAGTATGTGGTCTATGTACCTTACAAAGGACCTGTCATCTGAGAAGAGAAAGGGTCGGTTCAATCTTTCATTTTCTGATTAATGTCATTCTAGCCCTCAGAATTGGAGTTGATTTTTTTTTTTATCTGACTTTTTAAGAACCAAGCCATATGTGGCTTCTGTGTAGCTAGGCATTATAGAAACACAGTAACTGGACGTTTATTAAGCTCTTCCATATGTTAGCACTGTGCTAAATGCTTTGTTTATTATTTAACCTTCACAAAAATGTATAAGGTGGCTACTGTTATCCTCATCTTGAAGATAAAGAAACAGACATAGAGGTTAAATAACTTGCTCAAGCTTACATAGCTAGTAAGTGGCAGAATCAGGATTCATAGCCAGGTTTGTCTGGGCTAGAACTCTGACTTTTTTTTTTTTTTTTTAGTATAGTTGCCACAAAATGTTACATTAGTTTCAGGTATACAGCATAGTGATTTGACAGGTTTATACATTATGTTATGTTGTTAGGTTTACCACAAGTGTAGATCCGTTCTGTCACCATACAAGCTCATATCATTGATTATATTTCTTAGGCTGTGCCTTTTATTCCTGTGACTTATTCACTCCATGACTGGAAGCCTTCACCCATTTGGCCCATTCTCCCACCCCTCTCTCTTCTGGCAACCATCAGTTTGTTCTATTTATAGGTCTGATTCTGCTTTTTGTTAGTTTATTCATATTTTTAAATTTTTTTAAATTTATTTTTATTTTAGAGAGAGAGTGTGAGCAGGGGAGAGGGGCAGAGGGAGAGAGAGGAAGGGACTCTTAAGCAGGCTCCACATTCAGTGCAGAGCCCAATGTGGGGCTTGATTCCAAGATGCTGGGATTATGACCTGAACTGAAATCAAGAGTTGGATGCTCAATTGACTGAGCCACTCAGACATCCCCATATATATTTTTTTAAGATTCAACGTAGGAGTGGTATTTGCCTTTCTCAGTGTGACTTTTTCCACTTAGCATGATACTCTCTAGGTCTATCCATATTGTTACAGATGGCACAATCTCAGCCTTTTTTGTGGCTGTGTAATATTCCGTTTTATACATATACCATATCTTTTTTTATCCATATCCTTTATCAATACCTTGATTAGGTTGCATCCATATCTTGGCTTTTGTAAATAATGCTGCAGTAAACATAGGGGTACATATCTTTTTGAATTAATATTTTTGTATTCTTTGGGTAAATACCCAGTAGTGGAAATGCCAGATTATATAGTATTTCTATTTTTCATTTTTTGAGGAACCTCCATACTGTTTTCCATGGTGGCTGAACAAATTTACATTCCCAGCAGCAGTGCATGAGGGTTCCTTTTTCTCCACATCCTTACCAACACTTTAGAACTCTCATTCTTTTTTTTTTTTTATGTTTATTTATTTTTGAGAGAACGGAGTGTGACCAGAGTGTGAGCTGTTAGCACAGAGACCGATGTGGGGCTTAAACTCACAGACCTGAGCCGAAGTCAGAGCTCAATCAACTGAGCCACCCAGGCACCCCTAGAATTCTCATTCTTAACCATACCTTGTATTGCCTCTGTGTTAAAGGATCAGGTAGAATGTCAATCTGATGTTCCAACAGCTTGTTCTAACTTGGAGCTATTATAGCAACTCTACAATACTGTAACATCTGACTTCATTGAGCTGTTTTGAAACATTCTAATAAGCTAATTTAGCATATTTACATGTTTATTGTATTTTCACTTTTTAAAAAGAAGAGTTACTTTGTTTTTTTGGCTATAGAATATGGGACTGTGGAGTTAACCACTCTTGCTATTCTTCTTTAGATAATTTAACTGTGAATGTGATGCTTTAATTTTTTTCCTGGGTAAGAATTCTATTAAGATATTTAAAGAGGTGTGATATAAAGTACCTCTGAAAAAACTATCAGGGGGTATGACCTTATTCTTTATATTTGAAGCTCCAGAATGGGAAAAGTAATGAACAAAGACTCAATGTGGGACAACCTGATACTCTGAGTAAGCCCAATTTTTCTTTACATTCATTCTTTTTTTTTTTTTTTATGTTCATTTTTGACAGAGAGAGGGAGAAAGAGAGTGCGAGAGCGAGTGCATGAGCAGGAGAAAGTGAGAGAGAGGAGACATAGAATTCAAAGCAGGCTCCAGGCTATGAGCTGTTAGCACAGAGCCTGACTCGGTTGAAACCCATGAGCCAAGCCGCGAGATCATGACCTGAGCCGTAGTAGGACACTTAACTGACCTAGCCACCCAGGCACCCCTACATTCATTCTTTATAAATGCTTGATAATTCAAGTACAAATCATTGCATTTTTGGGGTTTCCCATTTCCTTCATCCACCTATTCTGATTAAGCTCTCAAAATAAATAGCAGTTAAGTTCTTAAAATGTAGTCATTGGCATTTCTAATTATTTAATGAATTAGCTTTTTTGAAATTAAATACCTCTTACTCGATCAGCTTCATCATCTTGGTGATGTTTTTAAGAGATGTGCTATTTATACCTGAAATGGAACTATAATCAGGCTATGTTAAACATTAATCTAGCCATGATAATAAACCGTGTTAAATTGAATATCTAGCAGCAGGAAGAAGGAAGATTACTAGGGTCTTGTTTTATTTATTTATGTTTAATAAATATATTTAATAAATCTAGATACTGTGTAGATGACATCCTTGTACTCCTAAAAAGAAGAAAAAAATACAACAAAATACTAGGCGTTTCAACCCATATGATTTCTCTCTTCTCTCTTAAAACATCAGCACTTGATCCTATAGCATCATTTAAAAAAAATGTATTTCTTTTGCTTGTCTTGAGTCCTCCTTGAAGTGAAGGTTGAGACTTGGTGTCACACTGCATTGTAGACGGTTGTGTTTCAGAACTCTGGGGGGCAGAGATTGATAGGCAGATAAGGAGGGCTCAGTCTTCTCTGAGTGGCTTGGAGTTTGTCCTGGGTGCAGTGCCAAGAGCTTATCGAAGCCTTCTTTCTGTGGCAGGCCCCTTGCCAAAATCTTATGACTCAGCCTACATGCTGTCTGCCTGCACCTAGAAACTGAGAAGCATTTCGCCCAGATTAGCCAGATGACATAGCTCATGCCCGTCATTCCTCACCTAGTATTCTGCTCTCCAGCAAAAGCTATTGAGAAGTGAATTTATTCCTGAAGTGACAGCATGTTTCTCAAAACACTGATGAGGTGGTGAGAATTCACATTCTGAGAGCTGTTTAAAAGGAAAATAGGAGGGGTGCCTGGGTGGCTCAGTTGGTTGGGCGGCTGACTTCGGCTTAGGTCATGATCTCATGGTTCGTGGGTTCGAGCCCTGCATCGGGCTCTGTGCTGACAGCTAGCTCAGACCCTGGAGCCTGCTTTAGATTCTCTGTCTCCTTCTCTCTCTCTGACCCTCCCCTTCTCATGTTGTCTCCCTCTCTCTCAGAAATAAATGAATTTTAAAAATGTTAAAAAATTAAAAGGGAAATAGGAGACCTGGTAGAGTTAGAGAGGCATGAAAAACTGTTCTTTCCACAGCACACCCTGACAGCAGGTTTATCCTTCACTGTAATTGTACAGGAGAGATAAGTGAGGTACCTAACACCTCTGGTGATTCTTAGGAGAACTAGGTACCTGCTTTCACCTGGATGTTTTATTTGGTAATAAAAGAAAAAGCATTCATATTAATTTGGAGAGAGAGAGAGAGAGAGTGTGTGTGTGTGTGTGTGTGAGCAGGACAGGAGCAGAGAGAGAGGGAGACATAGAATCCAAAGCAGGTTCCAGGCTCTGAGCTGTCAACACAGAGCCTGAAGCAGGGTTCGAACTCATAAACCATGAGGTCATGAGCTAAGCGGAAGTTGGAGACTTAACTGACTAAGCCACCCAGGTGCCCCAATTTGAGGCTATTATAAACAGTTATTCAGTCAATATTTTTGCATACTTGCTCTATTATTTCTTTAAGATAAACTTCCAGAAGCAGAATGTTGGTTTAAAGGATATTTCCAGCTGTCCTTTAAAAAGTTATTTCTTTTTTTTTATTGAAGATTTTATTTCCTTTTAAGTATTCTGTACCCCCAACGTGGGGTTTGAACTTAAAATCCTGAGATCAAGAGTCACACACTCCACTGACTGAGTCAGCCTGCTGCCCCTAAAAATACTGTTTCAACTTACATACTTGAAAGGCCTCATTTCCTCCAAACTTTCCAAATACTGGCGTTTTCTTTGCTTGTCTGTAGACATTCTCATTTTTTTCAACAATCTTTTAATGTAGATGTTGGTATGTTCCTCTTAGGGATTTAGAAACAAAACAAAAGAGCCTGAGACTTCAGCAGTAAACTTGCTTAAGATCACAGAGCTTATCAATGATGGTGCTAAGGTTTGAGCTAGCCCTTTATGGCTTCAAAACTGGTAGTTTCTCCATCTCTCTGGGCTAATAAAGTAATGTTTACTAATGATATTGGCTGTAGGCTCATCTACATTTGCTAGGCTCGTTGTCCTTATCTTGCCATTGCCATATTATTTTATGATCTCTCAATATCACTGGGCTAAGAAAACATGGCCATCTGCTGTACAAGTAGCTACAAGTACATTTTCCCTTCTCTGCAGTCTCTGAGGCTGTCCGCTCTAAGTCTTGTCCACCATTTCAGCACATGGAAAAAAGCTATTGATATTGTTAGGTGGTAAGGTTATTGGATTCTCTCTATCGGTTTAAAAACTCATCAGTCACCCGGTGCTCACCGGGGGGGGGGGGGGGGGGAGGCAAGGGAGAGCCTTTTTCCCCCCTTGCTGTTTAAGAACTTTTTCTATATAATCCCTGCCTAGCATGAGGACTTGTGTTTTCTTATCAGTTAGGCTCATCAGTGTGAGGCTGGAGCCTTGGGCCAAGTACAACTGAGGAAAGAGGACACAGTAAGGGGAAGAAAATAGGGAAGAGGACAGCTGAGATATAAAGAAACCCAGTCGGCATGGGCGTATGCTTAGTTCTCCTTCAGCTTTGTAAACGGTTTCTCTCTCTCACCGTCTCCTCCCCCCGCCCCCCAGTAGAATCAGTGAAGACATCCATTCAGGAATCGGGAACAGCTCCACCTCAGGTATGGAATAAACCATCTAATTTGGTAGTGTATTGTTTGCACAGTATCTGTGGAGAACACTGGCTTGTTTAAAATATGTCCATTAAGAATGCTCAGGATGCTGAGAGTGCCTTTCTCTTGAGAGCTCTCCTAAGGGGAAACCTTGGATAGAGCAAAGAAAAATATTGAAGTGGATTGCATTAGTGAACTTTGGAATACAAGAAAGTTCCAAAGTAGCACTTCTCTTCTTAGCTGAGTGATTGCTGAATCTATAAGTAAGCAGTGACATTGAACCTTAATTTGCTCTGGCTTTTTTTTTTTTTTTTTTTAAGGCTGAAAACTTTTCACCATAAGGAGGCAATAGAAAGCCTCCTTTTGTACTGGTTTGGAAAGATATCACTTGTACAACCTTAGGTTACTGTGGAAACATATGATCCACCCTTTCGATAAGCTTTAAATTGTCTTTATCCTTCAGTGCTAAGACATGTGTAAAGAGACTGGGATTTTCATTAAAATTAAATAAAAACCGAAACAGCTTGTCTTAAGGACATTACCCAAATAGAGGAAAAATATGAAATTAATGAGTAATGTCAGCTGTGGTGACTTCAGGCTGTATCTATTGAATGACTCACCTGACAACAGGAAGTTTGAGGAAATCCAAAAGAAAAGATGGTTTATGGGTGGGATCTGGAGGAAGCAGAGGAATGTCCAGAGTTTTTAACAATTGCTCTTTTCCTTTCTAGCATGTGCAAGAGAGATACAGGATGCAGAGCAAGCCCCTGGGAATCTGCCTGATAATAGATTGCATTGGCAATAACACAGGTAGGTGTGCATACTGCAGATTAACTGATACTCCACAGTTAGGAATGTTCCAAACAAGCTGTATTCATCAGTGATCATCACTAGTTGTTATAATAAATCGCTGCCAAAATCTGTGGTTTCACATAGCAAGGGGTACTTTCTCACTCATGGCAGAGCCTAGTGTGAATTGGGCTGGAGCCAGCTTCGTTCCATGTGGTCATTTAGTGGCATCATCATTTGAAGCTTTGGGGTTTTCCACAGGACCCTCTTTATCTGGCTGGTGGATTGTGGGAAATCAAATAGCTATGTCCTGGCTAAGGAGATTATAGGGAATGCATTATACTGCTTTCTGGCCCTGCTGAAAACAGCTGACCAGTGTCTAGTTAATGAATATTTAGGGATTGGGTCCTGTCTGTGCTCATGAATTCCTTAGGCCATGTTATCTATGGAATATCTTGTTCTCCACCCTGCTTTCAGCATCAGTTCTTTTGTAGTATTGGGAGTGCCTTGTTTTCTGCATGCTTTCTATATGTTCTTACTGTCGAGTAGCCACTGACATGTTGCACAATGTTTTCCCTCTACTGTATGCCTAATAAATACGGGAGCTTGAGAGCAGCTCAGGGAGACCTCCCTTACCCTCCCTCTCACCTCTCTTGACTTGTGGAGTCTTGAGTAATCCTTTTTGCTGAACTCGGCTTTGCTGGACAAAGCCAAAAGCTGAACCCACAGTTAGTGACCCCAATGTGATAAGCTAAACCCGCAACTGGTGACCTTGACGTGATTCCACAGTGGATGAAGGAAATTCGTGGAAGATCTCACAAGAGACTTTAGGGGCCAGTCCTGAAAGTGAGATACATCATTTCCATTCATGTTCCATTGGTCAAACTCACTCATGTGGCCCCGCTTAACTGCAGTGGATAAGGAACTCAGTCTGGCTGCAAGCCAGGAGGAAACTGGAAGGGGATTTGGGGCGCACATAGCACTGTCTCTGGCACAGGTATAATTGGTGAAAGTTGGTGAGCTTCAGTCTTGCTTTTTTATGCTGGATGATGTGGCAGGGAGGAGACTGTGAGCCCAGAGCGGGGTTTAAAATGGAAGGCTTGTTGGCTTCAGTGTTAACAGGTGCCCCATCGTTTCATATAGATCAACTATGAAGACTCTTCTGGGGAACATTAAAAATGTCACAAATGCAGGGCACCTGGGTGGCTCAGTCGGTTAAGTGTCTGACTTCAGCTCAGGTCATAATCTCGCAGTCTGTGGGTTTGAGCCCCGCATCGGGCTCTGTGCTGACAGCTCAGAGCCTGGAGCCTGCTTCAGATTCTGTGTCTCCCTCTCTCTCTGCCCCTCTCCCGCTCATGCTCTGTCTCTGTCTCTCAATAATAAATAAACACTAAAAACAATTTTTTTTTAATGTCATAAATGTGTGTTCACTTAGAAGCAGCATTTCACTTGGTTCTGGCACTCTGTATGTACTTTGGTTGTTGGCCTGAGTCTGTACTACTTGTGTGTTACTTGTTGTTCAATCTGAATTGATTCTCTTGCTCAATTGTTGTTGGATGTCTTACTCAAACTGAATCAATCACTGGTGATGCATCAAAGATCATAAGAAGAATCTCATTGTGAAACAGTGTGTTTAATTATTTACGTCTTCCTTAGTTGATCATTACAGACCCACAGTTTTCCTGCTTTTTGAAATTCTTAGAATGACTTAGATTTGACTAAAATTCTTAGATCTGCCTTTTAGGCTCACTTTAGATGTTACCATGGTGAGTTTTATGGGAAGAGACTCTAAGAGAAGGTGAAATCAGCAAATATTAGGCTGGATTTCCCAGAATTTTAAGATATGATCTCATTTTCTCATGTTCTATTTTTGGTTAGATGTGACAAATGTTGTCTCCTCAGCTATAGATAAGTGTTCTTTCCTTTTTAGCCATTAGTACCCATATAAGAATGAGAAAATATTTTCTCAATGAGTAACTTCCTGCTTTAAAAAAGTAATCATCTTCTACTTTCTATTATAGTCAGTTCTGTTTAATTCATTGGCAGAAAGTTCCCAGCTACATGATGTATGTTGTTGTATGAAGAGAATCATAAAGCTATGACCTGCTATGAATTTGTCACTAGAAGCCAGGGTCTGTTTGCTCCCCTTGCTGAGTTATGAGCCTCTTGTGTGTAGGGACTGAATGTATATTTATGTTTTCCTGCTGTATAGGAACATGGTCATGTATATTTATGTTTTCCTGCATTATAGGAACATGGTCAGAGTTGGGTCCTGGAATATGACCGCATGGGTTTGAATCATGGCTCTGCCATGTCCTAAATTGTGACCTTGGGCAATTTTCCTAGACTCTCCTTGCCTCAGTTTCTCTTCTGTAAAATGGTTTAATAACAAGACCTACATCTTGGGGAGGTTGGGAGAAATAAGTGAGTTTATGCTTGTCAAGAGCTTAGAGCAGTGCTTGGCACCCTTTAAGTATATACTGAATGCTAGCTAACCTTATTTTTTCATTTTGTTTGTTTAATTTTTGTTGCAAACTGCTAAGCTAGAACTTGCCATGGCTTTGTACATGGAATCTGAGTCCAGACAAATGAGGAAACAGAGAACTGGGGGTCTGACACCTGCACTGGGCTCAGGGAGGAGTGGGGCAGGTTCCCAGAGGCTGTGGTTAACTGGAATGGAGGGGAAATACCCAGGTGCGCAGACCACTCCCAGCAATTATCAGTATGAATGGGCTTGACAGAGAAAGAAAGTCTGAGTACAAAGTTTGGGGCCAGGAGGAGGGTCAGGGGTGGCAAGACCATAGGAGAGAAAGATGGAAGTGAGGATAGCATTGGAGGTGGCTCCTGGGACAGTATCTCTGGCCTGAGGCCTGTGCAGGTATTGGCCTAGGTGTGTTTGGACATTTGTTCCCTTGACTCAAGCTCTCCCTGCTTCTGCGGACAAAACAAATCACTGGTCTTGAGGCTGCTTATACAAGCCCCTGGTGGCCAGGCAGCCAGTTGATAGTTAAGAAACAAGACACTTTTACTTCCATTGTGTGATGCCTTTTATCAGCTGAAGGGTCCTCAATCTATTTATATGCCAGCACCAGCAGAGACTCAGAACAGTGAAGTGGAAGGCAGTCTCCTCTCTCACGCCCTGTCTCTAGGGCTGCAGCTCCTCATTTTCCTATTCTTTCCTGGCACTTGTTCACTGAGGCCTCCAGGCCTACAATACTGCTTTGGTTGACGGTAATCCTAATTCCATGTAGCAAACTTAATTTCTTCATCTCCTTCCTGACAGCGTGGGAGGGGGGTGCTTCATCTGGAGAGATTAGGTGGGGTTTCCTTTGTCCTGTGCCTACCTTAATCATTTGGTTAACATTGAGCATTTGGGAAAAGTGCAGGAGTCTGGGAATAGACATTATTGCCAATTGAAACCAGGGCTCTGAGAGAAACTAACAGTAATATTATAAGACTAACAGGGATGGTGATGATGAGAGTGTAAAATTTATTAAAAATCTGCTATGTGCCAGGTATTTGGCTAATTCTCACTCAATCTTCATAAATAATACTGTAAGATGGGTACTTTTATCCCCATTTTCAAGGTGAGCAAACAGAGCATAGTGAACTGCCTTCCTTGACTTCTCTAGTAACTGATAGAGCTGAGGTTTGAGAGCTTAACTCCAAAGCCACTGATTTTAGCTTCTTTGCTATAATGTGAGTTCCATGAGGATGGGAAGCTTGTCTATTTCTTTTGCTATGTGTCTGATACCTGGAACAATGTCTGGCACATAGGAGCTCAATAAATATTTGTTGGCTAGATGAATGAAGGAATAAGGTCTGCTAGTTTCTGTCTCTAAAACCATTCCTTTGTATCTGTAGAATTTAGCAGACTCTTTGTCCTGTCTTAAAAAAAAAAATCAGACTATTATCCAAAGAGAATGCAAGTCTTCCAGACATTTAAATGTTTATTTTTCCTTTATGCCATAATAGTTTATTGAGTACTTACTATGTGCAAAACACCATGCTTGGCCCTGTGTGAAGCAAAGGTGGAGTCTGGTGTCAGATCCACATTGTTTAACAAGGATAAGGTTATTTTTTGGTGGCTTGTCCTTGAGAAGAAACCTGATAGAGCTCAGTAATCTCTTCTTGAAGCAGACATAGAGGTTTAAGGATTTGGGCCAATTATCATAGGTTGGTAGAATTAAAAATTAAGCCCTTAGTGCTACATCAAGTTCATTAGTAACCTAGTAAAGCTAGGCCTGTGCTGGGCCCTGATTCTCAGTGCTCTGATGTAGCACTAGGATTCTGATCTTGTTAGAGACGGGGAGGGGAATGTCTCACAATGCAGATAGATGGATCTGAGCTTTGACTTAAAGCTTTGGCTGGGTTTTAGGCTCCTGAATGGAAGATGGTGTTTGCAGATTTTAAGAGGAAGGGTTTATTCCTCTGTCTTCTCCTTTGCTGTCTCTGAAAATCCTTATAAATCTTGTGTAAGTAAACTTCCTCTTCAAACAGAGCAACAGGGGTCATGAAAGCCAATAGTTAATAGTGGAAACACTTTGTAGGTGGTGTTGACTTGAGCTTGGCTCTCCTTGGGGTTGCCTGGCCCTCTTAACCCCTTTGCCCTCAGTGGAATGGGCGGCAACTCAGATCAGTAGCATTTTCCTGTACTGACAAATGTAGGAACATCTCAGCAAGGGGAATTGGAGTAGCCACTGTGTCCTATGCTTCTGAGCTGTGAAGGCAAGTGGTAAATGGCATCTGAGGTGGTAGGTGGAGGCTTTGCTCAGATGGAGCGGCCACCACATGCTGCCTGCTGGCTTGAGTGCCAAGGAAGTGGAGCTTCCCTTCCTTGCTCTCATGGGATTAATATATTATGAAAGATAGCTTCCTCCTAGAGGCAAAAGACCAGGAAGTCTGTGGTGGCATCCTTTTTCTTCTGGGCATTCTTGTCCTTTGAGTCTAAGCAGCCCTTCATTTGGAAAGCTAGTATCACAAATAAAATTTCCCTTTAAATCAGACAGACACAAATCTAG